AACAATTCTGAATCTGCATCAGCTGCTGTAGACGAATCTTCTTGCCCACTTGCTTAACGAACCCAACAAATAAGCTATCGATACAACGGTCTGCAGCCCGCAATATCGAGCTCACATTGTTGTCTCGATAAGCGAGTAGTAATTTCTCAAAGGTGTACAATTTTCCATATCGAAAATTCGATCCTCCGAATCCAAGCTCGCACAACTCCTCTAACAACCAGTGTTGCATATAGCAACCTTCATACCATGTCGCAAAAGTGCCATACTCCAAACCGAACAAAACAGAAACTGTCGTCGTAATGATTCCATCTAGCACCAAGCATCCTATCCTCCTCAGTTCTTCCAAATGTGACCAACTACTTCAGAATTTCACCAGTAAAGAACTCATTTGAAAATTGTACCTTGGGATTCAAGAGAAGTGGCTACCATGTTAGTAGTAGACCCAAAAGCTCGAGTCAAGCAAGCAGAAAACGAGAAGTCATATTCCTCAACAAGCAGTATCTCTTGGGAACCGTTGCGGTGCTCAAACCACCTTTCCATTTTTGCTTAGTTGCAGATTTCAAGTCAAACAAGGTCAAAGTTGGTGGAAAGAAGAACGACTTGCAAATGGTCATCCTAACAACCAAAGAGAACACGCACAATTCGAGAGAAGTGCAAAGATTATCCAATTCTCGCTTCGACCGTCCTGTAGTGCCATTCCAGAATGCACCAAACAGATCTGCTAGAAGTGTTTTAACAACCACGTACTCACAACAATAAGGTTCGGAAGTGAAGCAGTGGAAATATGCGTCGAGACGAACACATATCGTTGGAAAATAACCAATGTGATGCCTATGAATTCTAATAAGATGGTGATGCAATATGCTGACCTTCTGCACCAAAATCTTCACCAATCTCTTACCAAAATACAGCTCAAACTTCACACCCACGTGGAACTCTTTATGATAAGTTTGGTAAGCTGGTGAAAAGATTATGCTCCCAACATTCCTGTCCAAATCGACCCGCATTGGGTGGACACTTCCGTCGAATCCATCGATCGTGAATTCCTCACTAATCGAGCAAGAAACCAGGTCGAGAAGGCTAAAAGAACACTCAAGAATTTGAGAGTCAAAACAAGTCCAATAAAACTGGAGTACAAGATATTGCGATTTGAACGAGAAACCATGCCGAGAACAAACGTTTTTTTTTTTTTTTTTTTTTTTTTTTTTTTTTGCACCCTCCAAATAATGTTCCGGCATGATCCAGTTCACATTGACAAACAAACAAGCGAAGGAAGGTAAAGATGCAGAAATAGAAGTCACTGTTTCTGATTATTTTGCAAATCATCACAGTATGGTCAACTGGTTTCTTAGTTAAAAAGGAAATAGGTCTAAGCTCAGGAATAGTTAAGAACTGTCAATAAGATTTGACGAGGCCAAAGACATTTCAAAATTCACAATACTTTGTGAGAGCCATTTAAAAATTCAGAAATTAAACATAGAACCTCTGAATCAATGGGACGAAGAAGAAAGATACAAAGCAACCTGCGTAAGCATGCAGTGCCACGATTGGTTACCTTAAAGTGATGCCCTTGAGCAAACCAAAACTCAATGAGTCCAGAGAAGTTCAGAGTAAAGCTCGATCTTCATACAATGATGAATATGATAGAGTCTCAAGCCATTACACTGAAAATTACAAGACTGGACATTTAGGTTGCAAGCAGAGACTAAGTTCATCCTCGTCGAAAAGTACGAAGGCTAGAAGCTAGGATTTACCCCCAAGTACTAAACCCAGGTGAAGTTCAAGGAATCTGTTTATCCAAACAAGACTGGATATTCATCATCCAAATCCAACTACAACAGCAACACGAATTGCAACTCATTTTGGAAATTAATGACAATAGCGTTTGCTACTGACGAGTTTCTCAAGATTGCGATGTAGAGCCGACTCCGCCCGCAATTCCTAGGGAACGCATGTTGCAGAGTGGCATCGCCATTTCGAATCTACAGCTAGTCTTAACCAGAATTCCTCAAATTGAGATTTCTAAAACACGTCGCTTCTAAGTAATACTGACTCTAACCTTCATTCCCAAGGGATGCACGTCGTAGAGTATCAATCTGATCCTTAAAGTCGTCCAACAATTCACTTCATCACTGTTGAGGCACAATCCCGACACGAATTCTTGAATTTCAACCAGAAGGCGACAATTCAATCCGAGAGAGATTTGTACAACTGCACCGACTAGCACAAAATCCGGAAATCGTGACATCCAAATGATGTCAAAACCGACACTTTAAGAGAATAGAAAAGAATCCTAAGTATGCTCTGAACAAACCACGCTCTGATACCAATCTGACACGCCCCGACCCTGATATTCCCTGAATACCAGGACCGACACGTGCTCGCCGACACCCGGGGGTGACGAAAGCCATTAATTGATACAAAAGCTAAGAATAAGAAATAAATAAGGGTTAGAAATTTAAAATACCATGAATTAATAATTTAGGAACGTGTTCAGAGCATACAACTAAACCTAGTCACTAAAAAGAATTAAGATAAAGTTGAATGAATGAAGAAGTGGGTCCTACATCGAGAGGATCCGAAGATGCTGCTACGGAAGTGCCTTCACGCCGGGATCGTATGCCTCGGTTCTAAGTCCTGAATGGGGGCGCAAAACAAAGGTGAGTGGACCAAGTTTATATATAATATAATAATAAAACATTTATCAAGATATTAACCCCCAAAGTTTAATAGTGAAAACTACTAGCATAGTAAGTGATGGATTTAATAAAAATTCTAGCATGCCAAAAATATCTCAAAAGCCATATTGCGGAATCTCATCGCAGAAATCAAAACAGTAAACGTCTCATAAATCGTCTCGTAAAGCGGTGTGCTGCTAGAAAGATCACTGAATGAATATAACTCCCGGCCCAATGCCTGCACCTCAGTCTCTGTGCCCGTAGCCAGAGATAACTCCCTCCCGGCCCAATGCCTGTCTCCGTGTCCCTCAGCCTTTCGCTAGGGATTATTTCTCCCGGCCCACATGCCAACACCAGATCCTCGCCCCAAGCGGCATAGTGTCTACTAGGTACGCACAAATATTTACGTCTCATAACCGCATCGTTCATCGTCTCACTATAGAAAATATATCCTATCGTCCTATCAGATAGAGCTACCAGATGGTTTCTATAGAAAATACATATAGGAAATATAGGTATAACTCGAGATTTAATAAATATATATACTTCATAAATTCGTAGGCATGCTAATCATTTATGCAATTAAACTATAAAATCATGTAATTTTAGAAGGGGTCCACTCACAGTACTTAGTCGCCAAAAGCTGCGCCACTAGCGAAGACGGAAACGTCACCACCATTAATTGCCCCTAAGCACACTAATAAAGGGTACATCAACTACTCTACTCAAACGATTGAATTTGGGAAAACGGACTTCAAAAACGGGTCCGGGACGTCGAATTACCCTAAGAAGGTCTGAGGGTTTTCGGGAAAAGGAAAGGGAGAGAGTTAGGGTGCTGCCACTTGGCAGTTTAGGAGAGAAAGACAATTTAGATGAACGGCTAGGATTTTGTTAGGATAAGGGGTAAAAGTGAAAAGTAAGCAAAATTTTAGGAAGAAGAAGAATTTACCTCAAACTTCCGGGTTGGGGTGTTTCATCAATTTTCTAACAATGGTTATGGGCCTTCAATCTTTCAGAAAAATAACAAACACTCTCCAACTAGAACATAACGCAAACAGATGGTGTGCACTGTGAAATCAGAAACAAAGAACCTGATACAAATGAAAATCTTGAACCTTTGAGCAGAAATCCCTGAGAACTTGCAGCTACCATCGAGCTTCAATCAATCAAGAAGACTTGCACAGCGGAATTGAAACCAAGGATCGGCCAGCTCTGATACCATGATAACAGTGCACAGAGAATTGAAGAAAAGCAGAAAACTTAGAGAGAAAGAAACAGAATTGCAGAGAGAGCAGAGGCTATGAGCTTCTGTATATTTCTTCGAATAATTACTACAAGATTCTTACGCACTTATATAGCTCAATGGTACTAACAGCTCTAACTAATTTTACCGCCAATTCTAACTAACTTCCAAATATACTAACTGCCTTACTTCAGCACCACCTTTTTGACCATACTACCCTTCTTATCCGTCAGTACTGGTCAATACAAACTACAAGGACTTCACAACTTGATTTTCTTTAATTACCCTTTCATAAATAAATAATTAAGTCGTTACCAAATTAAAATTCTGAGTAAATTAGAGTCATTGGTGGACTGGCCGGGGTTGTGCAGGTGGTTGAGTTCATGAAGAAATTTTTAGTTGTGACGGGAACACAGATTGTAGACCATGTGTTTTTATGTAAGTGGTGAAAATTGTCGTTACCAAATTAAAATTCTGAGTAAATTAGAGTCATTGGTGGACTGGCCGGGGTTGTGCAGGTGGTTGAGTTCATGAAGAAATTTTTAGTTGTGACGGGAACACAGATTGTAGACCATGTGTTTTTATGTAAGTGGTGAAATTTTTTATTTTTTAAGTTATTAACTTTTTAACACACATATCCCACCATTTATATAACGACACGTGATGTATCACTCTATGTGACGATCACACTGAAAATTCGTTCATTTATTCTGTCATCTTATTCGAAAGTATTTTATTTAATTCCCAATTGGTCCTTTTGCATCTTGGGATATATATACCGGATGAATTTTGGTTTTGGGATTCGAACTCGAGAGAAGCGTTGTTTTAGTTTTCTTAGAAAGTTCCAAGGGTAAAATTGTAAATGAAAAATAATTAAAAATACAACCACGAAATAATGTGAATAATATGAGTTTGCTGATAATTAATTAATAGGTAACTAATCCCTAAACCATTTTCACACATTTCTCTTGTCATTCAATTTACTTCTGCTGAATTAAGAGCTACTTGTTCAAAAAACAAGTCTTTTAATTTTATATGGGATATTTTTTTCTATTTTTTATTTTTTACGAAAACCTTGATGGTACGAGGAATATTTTATTGATAACGAAAAAAATAAGTTACACCTAGTCAGGGGAGAACATAAACCTTACCCCTCATAATGCCAAGAAAAGGAGAAAAACAACATTGAGTAAGAATGAGAGACATAAACCTTACCCCTCTAGAAACGAAAACAAAAATGATACAAGGGATGGGGGGACATGAAACCTAACCCCTCTAAAACCAAACCTGAAAGAAAAACACAATGAAACAAGAGGACTAAATTTGACAAAATCATACAACACAACCATACTGGCATATTCGTCACAGCAAGGAAAATGCCAACGAACTTACTCAAAGTACAAAACAAATCTAAACATATTCAACAATTACATGATACATTTTAAACACTATCCTATTCAACAACTGTGAAAGAAGAATGCTCCATGGCATGTTTACCAGCAAAGAACCAAGCACAATCCAAAACCCCGTGAAGAATCCAACTCCCAAGCTCACGTAGAACCACTCATCTTCGAGTAAACTGTATCCTCCTCCTCCGTCGTGCTCAACTGTTGGTGGCGGTATCACCCCATTCTCGCTGCAATTCTTGTTGAGTGGAGCTCCGCATACTGATCAAGGCTCTGCAGCTTTGCAGTTGAGTGCTTTTCGGAATTCGTCCTGTCAAATTGTTGTAGGACAAGTTTAAGTGACTCAGAAATGTCAAATTCGTCATGCTTGGAGGAATTTCACCATCAAGTTGGTTCATGGAAAAATCAACAGATTCTAACTTTGCCATATCACCAATCTTTGAAGGAATTCTTCCAGTGAAGCGATTATTCGATAAATTGAGTGACTGTAATGCGAGGAGGCCGGTAAGTTCTTTAGGGATCTCTCCATACATGAAGTTGCATGAAAGATCCATGCCCTTTGCGAATCCCAGAATCTTGCTATATTCCATTTCTGTCCCTTTCGTTACCAAGATTGCATTCTCCCAAACTTCTCCATTCACACTCCCAAAAATCCTTGGAGAAAATGATTCTGAAAAATTAGCCAAGGCGCTCAAATTGTGGAAGCATCTCGGTATCATTCCTGAGAGTTTGTTATGTGCAAGGTCCAATATCTGGAGACTTTTCAAATAACAAACTTCATTAGGAATATCTCCTTCAAACTTATTTGAACGAAGGATAAGAACATGCAACCCTGAAAGGCTTTTCCCTATCCATATTGGTATGCTTCCGGAAAACCCATTTTCACTAAGGTCAACAACTGACAACGAGGTACAGTTCTGCAGGGAATGTGGCAATTCTCCGTACAGGTGATTATTGCGCAAGTGCAGTGATTCCAGATCTTGCAAGTATCCCATGGACATTGGGACATTCCCAGTTAGGTTGTTGTTTTCTAAATTTAGGAAGCCCAAGTATTGCCAACTCATCCAACAATCGGGTACTTTTCCAGTGAGAAAATTGTTCCCGAGATGAAGAATTTCAAGTTGCTTTGGTTCATCCGGCCTATCACAGAAGAAGTGGAAAACAGATCCAGAAAATGATGAATTGGAAAGATCTAGCCAGAACAATGAGGTGGCAACAATGGGCAATGCACCAGTGAATTGGTTAGAACCAAGATCAACTACTGAAGGAAAAGCACCAACAAATATATTTTGAATCTGCCCATACAATTGATTGTGAGAGAGATTCAGATAGTCTACTTGGGAAGTTAAGTTCCAAAACCAAGTTGGAATAGTACTTGAAATTCCTGTACCAGACAAGCTTAGTTCCTTTAATTGAGTTTGTGTCCGCAACCACATTGGCCATTCAGGCCCCAAATGCCAGGAATCCAGCTGCAAAATTTCAAGTTGAAAAGGAGGAACCCAATCTCGACTAGTTTTCAAAGTAAATGAGTTTCCTCTTGCAACAAAATTCTTCAACTTTATAAGGTTGCTAAAAGAAATTTCCGACACCACACCTTCTAACGAATTATAAGATATATCCAAATCCGTTAGCATTTTGAGCTGACCAATAACTTCTGTGAAAGTTCCATTAAATTGATTTACAGATATGTCCAATTGTTCTAAGCTTGATATATTTCCTAGTGACATTGGAATGCGACCTGATATTGAATTACTTGAAAGATCAAAGTGCCTTAAACTTTTAAGATTTCCAATGGAACTCGAAATTTCACCACGTAAGGCATTGTGAGAAAGATCTAAGGACTCAAGATTGTTCAGGCTATACAACCATTCAAGTATGGTAGAATTGAATTCGTTCGACCCAAGATAAAGAGCTATAAGACCAGTCATATTCTGAATACTGCTTGGAAGTCCTGTAAGGTCATTACCTTCTAGATCCAAAGCCAGATCTTTTTGGTTAAACAGCCATTTGGGAATCGGATCAAGACTAATAGAATTGAATGCCAAATCAATTACCTTCAAAGATGTGATATTCTGTGAAATGCTAGGAATTGGACCTTGGAAACCACAATCACCGAGAAGAATAGAAACTAGATTTTTAAGACTGAAAACCCACCTCAACATCAAAGAATTAAAACTGTTTCCAGAAAGATCAAGGACGACCAGGGAAGTAAAATTTGGGGTGGGTAGAGGGGGGATTTGATGAAGATGACAAAAGGACATATGTAACTCTACCAAAGAAGGGAGCATGTTTGTAACTTGCAACCAGTCAGATGCTTTGCTAAGATTTACATAACTCAAGTGCAAGTGTTTCAGCAGAGAAAGACCAGAAATCCACTGAAGGTTCTCTACCTTCAGATTGGAACCATAGAGACCATAACTATGGAGATTGAGATAGCGTAGACTGGAGAGATTTCCTAGTGTATGAGGAATTACTCCATCAAACAATGAGTATGCAAGATTAAGGTGTGTTAAACTTGTCATAGAACCAAAGAAACTAGGAATTTGTGTTCCATTGAAATTATTGTAACTCAAGTCCAAGAAGTTGAGATGCTTTAAACTGAGCAAAGAAGGATTTATCTTACCACCGAAGGAAGATTGGAAATCAAAATAAGTGTCGGGATTATTAAGGTGCAGCTCGTGGATGTGGCCGGTCATGTGATCACAGACAACTCCTGTCCAACTGCAACAATCTGAATCTTCTTCTGCAACCCACGATGAAAGGCGATTGGCAGGATCGTTGAGATCTTGCTTGAACATCAGAAGTGCTCGTCTTTCGCTTTCTTTGCAAAGTGGAGGCCAAGCTGGATTTCCATTGGATAAACCAATACTGAAAGTAATGGTTGCAATGGCCATAAAGTTCAAGTGTATGAAGCAGGTGATGTGTATGAGCAATGAACAATCCAGAGTAGAGCTACCTATATATACTAGGGAGCCTCACCTTTTCTAAACCATCCTCTACGGCATGAGACCGCATTTTCAAAATCGGTGCACATCAATGAGAGTAACAGTCGTCGGACGGACTCTTGGAATCTTGGACAAAAGTTTGATAGATGATAAGATGGAATAAACTAAGCGGCTATTTAGGACTAGCTAGTCCGCATCTATAGAGACACAAGTTAATTTAAGACCCCACTTGGAATTGGGAATCGTCGGTCCTTCAAATACATTGTATTAATATAGATGAAAAATTAATTTTTTTTATGGATGTGATATTTTTACTGGGATATAATATGCCCACCTAAGCTGGGCGTCAAACAGGTAAATGTGCAAGTGAAAGTAAATAGGGTAAATTACAATTTACTTCTTTACATTTCGGTACAATTGTAACGAGAAATTTTTCATTATGATCGAAACACGAGTGGTACACCACGTGTTTTTATATAAGTGGTGAAAAATTTATTTTTTAAATTATTAATTTTTTAACACACATTCTACCATTTATATAGTGACACGTGGTGTACCATCCCGTGTTCCAATCACACTGAAAAATTCTCTCCAATTGTAACCTCGTACAACATTTCTATAACATTTCAATTTCATACATTTGGTTATAAGCAAAAATTGCCCAAACGATGCTGTGGATTTTAAAAGCGTTTAAATGATACTGTTGCTTGTATACACACAAAAGATCAGACTTCTATTTACATGCAAAAAAGATTACACCAACAAAGTTCTTGTGGCTTTGGATCAACAATAGTACCAACACACAAAAGGTTATGAAACATTGTTCGATTTACATGCAATTTTTCTATTTACCTTCAGAGAATTAGAATGATAACAAAAATGCTTGAACTATTCAAAGATCATATGCCAGCTTGAAATTGAAAGACCAAACTCTGAATTCAAAACTATTTACATGTGGAATAATTTGAAATGCCTCAAAACATTACCATGATCCAATTGTATATGAAAGACTATCCAGCTACTGCCAAGAAGGAGAGTCAATGATCCTTCACTATTCATGGCAAGGCACACCAGACACAACTCATAAAACTCCAACAGATAACAGCAAAAACGACTCAGTTTGTGTAATTGGCAAAATCATAAACAAATTCCATACCATTTCATGGCAATAAATCCAATATCGTGGTCGGCAGAACTAATAGGTAAACGCACCATTTCAGAAAATAATTGTTAAAGAAGCATTATCCTGGTAAATAATGAGAAGAAAAGGCTGAGTTTGAAGAATTTACCTTCTGTAGGCTGAAAACAATGAATGGTACAAACATCAAAGAAAAGTAAAGCGGAAATGTTTTCCTAAATGTAGCTGATGTAGCCCGTGCATTCTGAGCTAAACAAGAATTTGTATCTGGATGAACAACCGAACAAGGCAATATCGAGCGGGTGGCCTCTACAGCCATCCCTTATAGCCCCTGAAATCCTTTTGACTGCTTCAACATACTATATGTAGACAGAACCAGAACCAAGTCCAGACTCACTCGTAATAGGTCTCCTCATCCACAACAATATCCCAGCTTTCCCCTGTCGTGCTTTTTCCATATTTGTGCACCTTACTGCAAAGAGAGAGCAAGTTAACTTGTCAAAGAAAAACCAAAACAATAGATGCCAATGCAGTTCAGCAAGTTTATTTCCTTTCGTACCCATTTCCAAAGTGCTCTTCTCCCCATGTCCTTGACCAACCTAGACATGAGAGAACAAAAACAGAGTTACATCAGATTAAATTATTGAAAGAAAAAGTTCACTTCTGTTGTAACGAATCGACATTAGAATCAAGCAACCAAGTTATGAAATACGAATTTAAAATGTAACTATTTACTGTGTCTGAAATGAATCTGTGAAATCAAATAGTTAAACCCTAAAAAGCACCAATGCAAATAGCATAAGAAAATTGAAATTAACCCTAAAGAAATTGGGAGAGAAGAATATGAAAAGAGAATACCTTTCGGCCCTTTGAGTTGTTGGAAAAAAAAAAACCCAACAGAGCAAAAGATAAACAAAAATACAGGAGGAGAGAAAATAAATTTTCAACTTGTAAGATTCATACGCAAACAGATTGGCGGTCAAAAGCATTTCGGAACTCAGAGCCATCAAGCTTTTTGATCTGCATGGAAATTATTTATGAAGTTTGAGATTCTTATAGATGCTTCAGACACATCGACATATTGAAGAAGCAATATTCAACAACCTAGTACCCATGCTCCATAGAAGGTTACAGAAAATATGAATGTATGGACTCTGGAGTGAGAAAGTAAAAGGACTTACCGCACACTTCATATCTTCTAAGTTTGTGTAGTCTACAATCCTTGTTGTGCCTACAAAAAAGGCATAGGACAAAAGCTAAATCAATCGAAATTCTGATGTCTCATGAGCTAGGTCTTAGGACTAAACTATTGAACTAACACTATATGAAATAGCAGTGTATATCCCAAAAACATTCTGAAATCTGGTTGATAATCAAAGAGTTCGAAGGGATTTACCTTTGGATTCTTCGGCTTTCAGATGGAGTTTGCTTATGTGTGGGAGAGACAGGTGGAGCGGCTAGGGTTTGAGTATGGAAGAAATGAAAAATGGAGAGAGCACCTGTTTTGGCTGAAGCAACAGCTCACACACTCCGGACAAAACTGCAAATGTCTAAAAAAGGGAAAATATAAAAAGAAACCTTGACAACTGAATTCCAAGAAACATTCTGACATTGTAAATAACATTTCACAAAAAAAAAAAAAAAACTAGAAAAAACTAAACTAATTACACTCGGATTGCAATGTTATCATTTAGCAGAAGATCCTGCATCTGCAAAGGATCCTTTAAAACCTTTTTTCTTGAACAACCCCACACTGCTACACATCCAGGCAAGGTAAACCAACAGCACCCTCATGCTGAGCTCTCCTGTGCATATATACCCCTTGTAAGTAATCTTAATCAGTCAGTTATCATGAATATACAACTTATATTAATTTTTTACAATATCCAACACACAAATATAACAGAAGAGGAAACTTTTACTTAAGCAGCACAAAATGATATCCTCTGCATTTCGTTCCAAAATCCATCACTCTTATGTCTTTGCCTGCACAGTTCTTGCCCCAACATAGCCTGCCATGATGATAGCACTATCAATAATTAAGACATAAAGAAAAGGCTATCCTAGCTAGGTATTATCGTTGGAGTAAACCAACAGCACCATAAGTAAAGTAGCAGACCAAGTTTTTTTTAGAATTGATGTCTTAACATGTTTAAGTAATGAAAAGATTACAACACATTGGATGTGTTAACAAATCCATAAGCTGATGACTCCCTCTCTGGTTTACCGGATCATTCTTAATGTATTCAACAATGCAGCAGCAATTAAAAGTCCTTGGAAAATGCCCAGCTACTATAAAGACATGACGAAAACTATATCTCACCTTATCCCCTTGTTGGCAAAGACAGCATATTCGTCCTTGTTGTTCGGGGTGAATCATAATCCTGAACTCCATTATCATCATCGTCGAGAATGTCTTTGGCTTTTCTAGCAAGAACACCCCAAAACCCATGTTTGGATTCATTAACATTCTTCAATGACGTATTCTTGAATCAGATACAACAAAACACACAAGTCACGAATGAAACAGCACAAAACACACAACCCAAAAAACTAAATGAAGAATTCTTTATAACAAGCATGTTGATAATACCACGAAAAATTCCACTTCATCATACATGCCTATTGTTTTCTCTGTCCAAATATGAAATTGCCATCATCATTTTTGAAAGCACAAACCAAAATCACTTCTCAAAGAGATCATACACAGAAGAGAGTGGAAGCTTACCCAAAGCCAATTTCATGTTGTTCACTCCTTCTTCTTCTTCTTCTTTTGGACCCAACAATCTGTGGGTTTGATTGCAGCATAGTGATTTAGTTTAAAATTTCAACATTGATTATATATATGTAGATAATCCTAAACACTTCAATTAAATCTCAAATTGAAAAGAACACTTCAATCTGACTAAAATTACACAAAGGAAAAAACAAAGACAGAAAAAAGTTCAAACCAATCTAGAAGCCAAAATGATCCCCCAACATCAGTAAATTAACAATAAAAATCTAAACTCATATAAATTCACAGGAAAATCAAAACACGAGAAAAAAATTTTGGATCACAAATTGTCAAGTACAAAAGGATAAATTACATATCCAAAGAAAAAAAATCACAAACAAACTAAAACTTCAAATCAGTGAAGACCGTACCTTGAAAAGGGGTCGCCGCTCTTGCCAACATCGGTGCTATCGCCGTCTCGACCCTCAACATGCTTTCGGCCGTACTCGATGACCTTGGTTGTGGAATTCTCCAGCAATTCTGGCAGAATTGGTTGTGCCTGTTTGCTCGTCGCAAGGTTTTTTGTTGTGAATGAAGGCAAAATTTATAAGGTCAGAGAGAAACATGATAGCCACGGAAAAGAGTGCGAAAGAGTGGTGCAAAAAGATTGGCCGACAGTTTTTCATGACCGGCAAAACATACACCCAAGAGAAGCAAGTATAGTTATTAAGATTTAAACATGAAAGCATTAATCGCGAGGAAAAATTCATCATCAATATCAACATAGTGCTGAATCATAAAGAATTAAGAATCAAATGAAAGAGCCACAGCTAAATCACATTCCAAGAACATAAGGTTATATGAACGAACACAAACCAATTACAGAACTCACACTAATTGAACACAAATTTCAGCAAATACCCAGAATAAATAGCAATAACTTGACCATAACCCAGACCCAAATCACAAAAAGCGGCAAAAATAACTTCAATCCCACTTAAATCCAAACAACCAGATGACCCAATCTCCCAAATATCACCAACTAATGATCAAGGCAGCTACAAAACAGAAAACAAAAATGTGAGTTCTAATTGAATTCATTTACATATACCCTACACCATTAAGACTTGGTAATAAATTTATATTTCTCTATTCCATAAAGAAAAGAAACTCGTCATATAGAACAATTATAGGTACATAATGATTTGATAAGATAACACTTAAACTGTGCAAGACCTTGCTATTGCACCAGCATGGTAGCAAAGCGTAAATTATTTTAATCAGGTACATACCAATTGGTTGTGAATTTTCTGACTACAGGTTGTTGAAATACCAGCCACAATAATCTTAGCATGAACCTCGTCCTGCAAGGAAATGAAGTTAAACGTAAAACATATCATTCTCGGAACACATGTAACCTAAAAAATGTTATGCATTAAACTTGTGCTTCCAAGCATATATTATATATGACTTGTCCTGGATGTTCTTCTTATATTAAAGAAACCATGATTATTGTTGCGTATACCTTAAGCTTTGATGGTAGCATAGATACAACTCGATAAGCAGGGTCTTCTGTGCTTTGCACAATAAACATAAACTCTAAGGGACCACCATAGAAAATGCAAGACCTAGACATTCATCATCTACTTCTCACCAATCGTCGTCCTGCAGAGATCCCGGACCCCCAAACCACTTTTCTTCCTCCTTTTTTGTCAAAACTGCAGATCTCACACCAAATTCTCTTTTTTCTCCATTGAAGTTTCTCGCCTTCGTCTAGCACATGCTCATTCATTCCTCCAACTTTTCCGTCGATTCTAACCCAAATCTTTCCCAACCTCTTTCCACCAAAGATATCACATCCCACCCACCATTATTTATTTATTATTTAAAATTATTTTTTGCTTTTTCAAGGGTTTAAGAATCTTCTTTTAAAAGGATAAATATGTTATTAACATTTTCATTAAATGGTGGATAAGAAAATAAGACATCGGAGTGGAAATATCACAACTCTTTATGATTTTTGGTGCGTGTACGAGACATGGACTAAAAAAAGATGTAGGTCCAACATTATAATATTAACACGAGTTAGGCTAATTATTAAGGGATAATTACCAAGAAATCACACTTTTGACCGGAAAATAGTCCGTACCCAGAAATCAAGCAGTATCGCCAACAAAGATGGTGAAAGCCATTAGAGTTCATGAACTTGGTGGTCCTCAGGTCTCTCTCTCTCTCTCCTGTGTTTTTTTGGGTAACTTGAATGTTTGAATTTGTGATCACAAAATCAAGACTTGTTTGTCGGTTGCAATATTAAGTGCCTGATTTCATTTGTAAACTATTTCTGTTTACAATAAATCCAAGTTGTTTGATGGGAAATCTGGTAACAGGCTGAAAGTGATAGCCTTTCTGCTTTTAGCCAAGAGTACATGATTTCTTATGCCATTGTATTCATCGGACTAATCCGGACAAGGTTAGTTCTTGTTTGGTGTCAAGGATTTGACTGGATTCGATAACTCACTATGATTCAATGTCGAAGGAAAAAATGGAAGTCAAAGGGTCGTTTGGAAGTACTTTTAAAGTAACAGAAAGTATTTTTTGTGAAAATATTTTTGAAATCAATTTTTAGTAAAAATCTAATTGAATCTTAAAAAAGCACTTGAAGTGCTTCCTACAAGCACATATTTGATGCTTCTTCCAAGTGCTTTTGGAATCCAAAATCAATTTCACCAAAAACGTTTTCAGTCATTCTAAAAGCACTTCCAGACGAGTCATAAGTTGAAAGTAAAAAGAGGAGTAGTCATGAAGTAAGCTTATCCCTCCAATCCTACCATTTCGTTGGTGATTGGAATGTTCTTCATGATCAATCCTTCTTCTGCTTTCCAAATTTCTTTCTTTGACATACATTGAATCTAGCGATTTTTCAGTCCAATTCAATCATAGACATCGAGCGAGGCCTTGAAGTATTTGAGTTTGTAAACTAAAGTTTATATTGTGTTTATAGTTTATCTCAAGCCATATCAAGTGTTGAATTATGGCCAAACAAACAACTTTCGGCTATTAAAAAAAGGAAAAGAAAAAAACTTTTGGTTATAAAATTATAAAGACATCATGATGAGGAGGCATCATGATGATGTTTTTCTTCTTTTGTGGTTTTTTATTAGCCGAGAGTGATGGCTTGTTTTGAATAATAATTCATTGTTTTGTTTCGGTAGAAGAGAAGAAAAGGAGAGCTCAATTTTCAGATTAGAGCATAAGAGAGAAGAGAGCTGCAGAGAAAAGGAGTGCAAGCTGCAGAGCATCAGAAAATAGAAAGGGTGCAGCAACCCTTTGTTGAAAAGAAGAAGAATGTGCTCTTCTTTTTTGTTAGCAATCATCCATCATAGTTATTGTTATAATAGCTTTGAGTTAAATGTATAGAGAATAAATTATTCATTATATTTCTTTCTCTATAAGAACTACGGTGCAAAATGCAAAGTTCGAAGTGGAAAAGTTTGATGGCACAAACAACTTCGGGATGTGGCAATGTGAGGTTAAAGATGTGTTGGCTCAACAAGATCTACTTGCCGCTTTGGGAGAAAAACCGGAAGCTATTTCGAAGTCGGAATGGGAGAAATTAAATTTGTGGGCTTGCTCTTCAATTCGGTTGTGCCTTGCAAAAACTCAGAAGTATTTTGTGATGCGGGAGACGGTAGCAAGTGTGTTGTGGCAAAAATTGGAAGACAAGTATATGACGAAGAGTGCAGAGAACCGGCTACACTTGAAGAAAAAGCTCTACCGCTTCCAATACAAAGAAGGTTCAAAAATGATTAGACACCTTGATGCTTTTAATAAGTTGATTGCCGACTTGTTAAATTTAGATGAGGATATTAAGGATGAAGATAAGGCCTTAATATTGTTGAATTCCTTGCCGGACTCTTATGAGCATTTTGTTACCACTATTATGCATGGTAAAGAAACTGTAAAATTTGAAGATGTGTCAAATGCCTTGATGAATTATGAAATGAGGCATAGAGATAAAAATCATGATAGTACCTCTGAAGCTTTATTTGTTAGAGGTAGATCATCGGAGAGGAGATCATCTTCTAGCAGGAAAAAATCACAGTCTCGACCTAGAGGAAACTCTAAAGGTAGAAAACCTTTGGAAAAGGATGAATGTGCCTTTTGTCATAATAAGGGCCATTGGAAGAAAGTTTGTCCTAAATTGAAGACCAAAGGCAAAGAAAGTTCTGAAGCTAATGTTGCTGAGGTTGAACAGATTTTTCTGATTTTGCTTTAACCACTTCCTCATCATTTGATTGTGCTACTAAGTGGGTGTTGGATACGGGTTGTACTCATCATATGACTCCTCACAAGGATTGGTTTTCAAGCTTGAAAGAGTTTGATGGTGGTGTTGTGTTCATGGGAGATGACAATCCTTGCACAACAAAAGGGATTGGTACAGTTCGTTTGAAGTTGCATGATGGCATGGTTAAAGAGTTGACAGGTGTTCGGTATGTACCGAATTTGAAGAAAAATCTTATTTCTTTGGGTACTTTGGAATCCAAGGGCTTCAGGTTTCATTCAGATGGACAGACATTGAAAGTTACTTATGGTGCACTTGTTGTGATGAAAGCTCCTCGATGTGGCCATTTGTATTTATTGCAGGGAAGCACTGTGACAGATGAAGCATCTGTAGTTTCTGAAAATATGGGCACATCTGATTCAGATACTACTAGACTGTGGCATATGAGATTAGGCCATGCTGGTGAGAGAGCTCTACAAGGGCTTGTGAAACAAGGTCTTCTAAAAGGTGCCACGACTTGTAAGCTTGATTTCTGCGAGCATTGTGTCTTGGGGAAGCAAACTAGAGTGAAGTTTGGTACTGCTGTACATCAGACGAAGGGCATTCTTGATTATGTGCATTCGGATGTTTGGGGTCCTACAAAGACTCCCTCTTTGAGTGGTAGACATTGGTTCGTGACCTTTGTTGATGATTATTCAAGAAGGTCTTGGGTCTACACTATGAAGCACAAGAGTGAGGTGTTAAACATTTTCTTGGGTTGGAAGAAAATGGTTGAGAACCAAACTGGAAGAAAGATTAAGATTTTGAGATCGGATAATGGTGGTGAATACACATCCGATCCTTTCTTTAAAGTTTGCAAAGAGGAAGGAATTGTGAGACATTTCAGTGTTCGGGGAACTCCACAACAAAATGGAGTTGCAGAAAGATTGAATCGAACCTTGCTTGAGAAGGTTAGATGTATGTTGTCTCAGTCGGGTTTAAGCAAGTCGTTTTGGGCAGAGGCAGTTACTTATGCATGTCACATCATCAACCGGTTACCCTCAGCTGCTATTCAGGGTAAGACACCAATGGAGGTATGGACTGGAAAATCTTCTTCTGATTATGACTATATCCGTATTTTTGGTTCACCTGCTTATTTTCATGTGACTGAAAATAAACTTGATCCTAGAGCCAAAAATGCTATCTTTCTTGGTTTTAGTAGTGGTGTCAAAGGTTACAGGTTGTGGTGCCCGGAGATGAAAAAACTTGTAATCAGCAGAGATGTGACATTTGATGAAGAAAGTATGTTTAAAGACTCTGAGAAGAATGTGAAAGATGTCCAACAAGTGGAGCTTGAGAAAGTTGCCTCTAATACTTCAAATCCTATTTCCGCTGATGTCGAAGCCACTACAAGTGAAGAAGTTGGAGACCATGAGGATGTTGAAGAAGTTGAACTTGAAGATTCTATTCAAGTTGAAGAGGAAGTTTCACCTCAAGAGTCTATTGCCAAGAACAGAGGAAAGAGACAAATTACCAAGCCAGCTCGGTATAGTGACTATGTTTCTTTTGCTTTTCCTATTATCACTGATGAGATTCCATCCAATTTTGAGGAAGCTATTGAGAGTGAAGAAAATGAGAGGTGGTGCAATGCCATGGGTGATGAGATGAATTCTCTCTTGAAGAACAAGACTTGGGAGTTAGCTAAATTGCCTAAGGGCAAGAAAGCTATCGGTTGCAAATGGGTGTATGCCAAGAAGGAAGATGCTGATGAGAAAAGCAATGTGAGATTTAAAGCAAGATTAGTTGCTAAAGGGTATGCACAGAAGGAGGGCATTGACTACAATGAAATATTTTCTCCAGTTGTGAAGCACTCCTCAATTCGTATTATGTTAGCTCTTGTTGCACAATATGATCTTGAGCTTGTGCAACTTGATGTGAAGACGGCTTTCCTACATGGTGATTTGAATGAAGAGATTTATATGTGTCAACCGGATGGGTATATAGTGAAAGGGAAGGAAAATTTGTTTTGCAAATTGAAGAAATCACTTTATGGCTTGAAGCAATCTCCAAGGCAATGATATTTGAGGTTTGATAAATTTATGAGAGGCCAAAATTATTCTAGAAGTCAATATGATCATTGTGTGTACTTCAAGAAGTTGCAAGATGGGTCTTTCATTTATTTGTTGATATATGTTGATGATATGTTGATTGCCTCAAAGAATGTTGAAGAGATTGAGAAATTGAAGAAACAAATGAAGAATGAGTTTGAGATGAAGGATCTTGGTGAAGCAAAAAAGATCATTGGCATGGAGATCACTAGAGATAGAGCAAAGGGTTTCGTCAGTTTGAATCAAAGACAATACCTTGAGAAGTTGATTCGGAAGTTTGGAGTTCATGATTCAACCAAACCGGTTAGTACCCCTTTGGCTCCTCATTTTAAATTGAGTTCTCTACAGTGTCCTAAAAATGATAAAGAGAAGCTGAAAATGAAAAATATACCATATGCAAATTTGGTTGGTAGTTTGATGTATGCAATGGTATGCTCTAGACCGGATATTGCTCATGCAGTTGGCATGGTGAGTCGATATATGCATAATCCAGGTAAAGAGCATTGGCAAGCAGCTAAGTGGATATTGAGGTATCTCCATGGTACTCGAGATGTTGGTTTATGCTTTGAGAGAGATGACTCTGGTATTGGTCATTTTGCAGTTGGTTATGTTGATTCAGATTATGCAGGTGATCTGGATGGAAGGAAGTCTACTACAGGCTATGTGTTTACTATGGCTAAAGGACCAGTTTGTTGGAGGTCCATTTTGCAGTCGTCTGTTGCCTTGTCTACTACAGAGGCTGAATATATGGCAGTTGCTGAAGCTATAAAGGAGGTCATTTGGATACATGGGCTGATTAGGGATTTGGGGGTTGATCAGAAGCAGGTGGAGGTACATTGTGATAGTCAGAGTGCCATTTATTTGGCTAAGTATCAGGTTCATCATGCGAGGACCAAGCATATAGATGTGCGTTATCACTTTGTTCGTGAAATTGTTGGTGAAGGGGAAATCATTCTCCAGAAGATTCCAACTAAAGATAACCCCGCTGATATGTTGACTAAGGTTGTTGGTGTAGCCAAGTTTGTTCACTGTTTGAACTTGGCTCACATTATGCCTATATAAAGAAGGCGTTGAGCAGTAGGAGTTTTTGGAGCATTTGGCTCGGCATGAGTTGTTCTTTTGCTAGTGTTTGGGAGTGATTTTTGTGTTGATTGTGTTGGTTGGCTTATCATGGTGTTTTCGGAATTTGGCCAAGGTGGAGATTGTTGAATTATGGCCAAACAAACAACTTTCGGCTATTAAAAAAAGGAAAAGAAAAAAACTTTTGGTTATAAAATTATAAAGACATCATGATGAGGAGGCATCATGATGATGTTTTTCTTCTTTTGTGGTTTTTTATTAGCCGAAAGTGATGGCTTGTTTTGAATAATAATTCATTGTTTTGTTTCGGTAGAAGAGAAGAAAATGAGAGCTCAATTTTCAGATTAGAGCATAAGAGAGAAGAGAGAAGAGAGCTGCAGAGAAAAGGAGTGCAAGCTGCAGAGCATCAGAAAATAGAAAGGGTGCAGCAACCCTTTGTTGAAAAGAAGAAGAATGTGCTCTTCTTTTTTGTTAGCAATCATTCATCATAGTTATTGTTGTAATAGCTTTGAGCTACATGTATAGAGAAGAAATTATTCATTATATTTCTTTCTCTATTTGTTTCTGTGGTGTGTGAGAGTTATTGAGTGTATTGGGTTATTTGGGTTGTGAGATTGCCAACACTTTGTAAACTCCCATTTGGTTGATAGTGGATTATTGGGTGAGCTCCTACTGCTCCGAGGACGTACTCCAGTTACACTGACTGTTGAGGAACCTCGTTAAAATCTTGGTGTCTTTAATATTTTGTTCTTGCATTTTTATTTGATAAATTTCCTGTTGGTTAGCTTGAGTTGGTTCTAAAAGGTTTGGTGCTATCCTAGCACAACATCAAGTGTGTTCATACACAACCTTTGAAACATATTATTCAAAACCCGTTTGTTTTGGAGTTTTACTTCAGTTTGTTTTCCTTGAAAGAAGTTTCCTTTGCTCGTAATTTTTCTTTCATCTGCTATCTGGTTCAGCTACATGTCATTATCCAAATTTCTAATGCTTTTATCCCCATTTCACTTAATTTTGTGATGTAATGCTGCTAGGTCTTGAAATGGGAAGAAGTGGAAATAGGAGAGCCGAAGGAGGGGGAGGTTCGTGTGAAGAAGAAGGCGATAGGGGTTAATTTCATCGATGTATACTTCCGCAAAGGACTTTATTATAAGGCTGATACAATGCCCTTCTCCCCAGGTTTTGCTTCATTTCCAAGTTCCGAAATGTAGGAAGGATTGACATCTTGTCCACTCTTTGAAGGCATAATTTCTAAGTTTAGTTTTTTCTTAACAGTTTCTTGAGTAAACATTTCGCGTGAGATTACAGTTTTCAGATATGATCAAGAATGATTTAGCAAACCTAAAAGAATGCCGGGCATGAAACCAGATTAGCCATTCCTGCTGTTTGAAATAGAACTGACTAATCCTTAAGAGAAATGGTCGAGAAACTCAACGTCACTACAAATCAATTTTCATTTCAGGTATGGAAGCTTGTGGAGTTGTGACAGCCGTAGGACCTGGAGTAACAGACAGGCGAGTTGGAGATCTGGTGGCCTATGTTGGCACTCCGATGGGGTCATATGCGGAAGAGCAGATCCTTCCTGAAAACAAAGTGGTGCCGGTTCCCCCTTCAATTGATCCTATTGTTGCAGCATCGGTATTGCTTAAGGGTATGACAGCTCAGGTTCTACTACGTCAGTCTTTCAAGGTTGTTTTATTGTACAATTTTATGTATTGTTAACTATGTGATTAATGTGTCAAAAAAATACAATCAACTGACAAATATTGGTGGTCAAGTTGTAACCAAATGCTTCCTGAACTTGTAATTTCATTATCTAAACACGGTTGATTCAATGTTAGAAATTGTTTATAAATTTGAATGCTGCTGCTTTTAATGTTCGAGCTGAATTTTGTGCTGTTAATTATACAGGTCAAACCAGGACACACAGTCCTTGTTCACGCAGCAGCTGGTGGAGTTGGATCCCTTTTATGCCAGTGGGCTAATGCGCTTGGTGCAACTGTCATTGGAACTGTATCAACTAAAGAGAAGACAGCTCAGGCCAAGGATGATGGGTGTCACCATGTCATAGTCTACACGAAAGAGGATTTTGTTGCTCGAGTGACAGAAATAACATCTGACAATGGGGTTGATGTTGTCTATGATTCTGTAGGGAAGGATACCTTTCAGGTAAATCTTACCATCCCTCAATTTTATACAGAAGTTACAGAAATGATTCTAGGTTCTCCTTCTGCACCGTTCCTTTGATGTTCTTGGTTTCATTGAGTATCAACACAGCCTGTTACTGCTTCTGCTTTTCCGTGACTTATTACCTAATCTAGCGTTGAAGTTTCTCAATGACAGGCCAGGCATACCAAATCTCTATACTGTTCTGTTCGAGCTAGTTTTATGAAACTGTTATCCTTTGATTTTTTCAGTTCAGAAGATTAGCTAGTCTAATTTCTTAATGGTGAATTTTGGAATTAGTACTTAACTGGGGCATTGTTTACAGGGATCATTGGCATGCTTGAAGACTCGTGGATACATGGTGAGTTTCGGACAAGCATCAGGTGCAATTGATCCCGTCCCACTATCAGCTCTTGCAGCAAACTCACTCTTCCTGACCAGACCGGCCCTGTTCCAGTACACTGCAGCTCGAGACAAGTTGTTAGAGGTTGCGGGAGAGGTATTTGCTAATGTTGCATCAGGCGTATTGCGAGTTCGAGTAAATCACAAATACCCATTGTCTCACGCAGCACAAGCGCATGCAGACCTCGAGAACAGGAAAACATCAGGCTCGGCTGTGCTTATACCCTAAAATTTCTGCCTCAACTGCTGTTCTTTGTGAACAGATTAATATGAGTTGGTTTGCAAAATGCAATGATGTTATCTCCAACTTTAGTGACAGACAGACTTGTTCAGCAAGCAAAAAAGGCAATTGTATTTTTCGCATTTCTGATGAAAGGCAAAACTGTTTCTGTGAAACAGCAGGGATGTATCACGTAACATATGTCTCTCTCATCACTTGAGTATACACACGGTTTTCTCAAGCGAGCCCTCGAATTCTAGCATGTGGAGTTCATGCTAGGGTGCCAATGTACCTAGAGTGACGTGGGAAGCATGCCAAGGTGCCCGACTGGCACACTCTATTGTTTCTGGTAGTCTCTCTTTTCGCTTTCATGCCATTCACTTCTGCATATTCTCTGTTTAATTTTGTTCATTGTATTATTTCCGAGTCTCTCTTACCGTAAATGAAAGTTGTTTTGAAATCACTTTGTAAAATATGACAATAATCAATTAGTTTAGCATATGCTATTAATATAAATAATTAAGTAACAATACTGTAGTATCTGTAAACCAAAAATTACAAACATTGTACACATTAATCATGCATTATACCGTCACTTCCGGCGGCATCCGCATTACCATACCCATTAGCTCCGGCAGGGTACCAACGGGTGGCAGCTGTCGACAAGTTTAAGTGCTTGCGATTAACTGCAAAGCAGATATTAAAGCAGCAAAAAAGAGTGATAAATACAAAAGGGTTTGTTAAACCAGGCAATGGCAGCTGAAGAGTGGCCAAAACAGGCGCTTAACTTTCTTCAGAGTTCAGACAAATGCTCATGGTCCTGCGTGAAGTTGTCTGGTAGTGGTAGTGATTGCAACCACTGCCTACATATTCCGTCCAAAACCATTTGTTGACCATACCACTCATGTAAGGCTGCTCTTGAAGACGTGGTTAGGCCAAGAATTCGTTCTCCGTAGATTACACTAGTTTAAAATGTCGTATTGTCGGAAAACGGAGTAAGACTGCTCTCTATATTTCCATTCTCTTGGTACAAATTACAATTTTGAGTTCTGTCTTCGTATCTGTGTGTGAGCTTGGAAGAAGCAATGGCAGTTGGGTTAGCAATAGCAGGTGAAGCGGGGCAATACAACAGCAGGATGACACTGTTCGTCATCATCTCTTGCATGATGGCAGCCATAGGAGGTGTAATTTTCGGCTACGACATTGGAATTTCAGGCGGCGTGACATCAATGGAGCCGTTTCTTAAAAAATTCTTCCCTGAAGTAAACATTAAGATGAAATCAGACACCAAAATCAGCAACTACTGTAAATTCGACAGTGAACTGTGGACCTCCTTCACATCCTCACTCTACATATCTGGTCTTGTAGCTTCCCTTTTTGCCAGTTTGGTCACAAGGGCTTACGGCCGCAAGCCTTCAATCCTTGCCGGTGGAGCTGCATTCCTTGCCAGCTCAGCTCTAAACGGCGCAGCTATGAACATCTACATGCTCATCCTCGGCCACTTATTGCTTGGAGTTGGTATTGGTTTTGGAAATCAGGTAGTACTTTTTGCCCTCAACATTAATCATATAAGCATACCCTATTCGATGTTTCTATTTTTCGTGTTACTTGTGTAATCTGTGTTTGTGTTGTGCAGGCTGTTCCATTGTACCTTTCGGAAATGGCACCACCAAAATACAGAGGAGCAATTAACAATGGCTTCCAATTTAGCTTCGGCATTGGCGTATTATCAGCTAACCTCATCAACTACGGCTCTGAGAAGATCAAAGGGGGTTGGGTGTGGCGAATCTCCCTAGCCATGGCTGCAGTCCCTGCCTCAATGCTAACACCGGGAGCACTTTTCCTTCCCGAAACACCTAACAGCCTAATCCAGCATAACGCGGATCACCAAACAGCCAAGCAAATGCTACAACGTATTAGAGGTGTCGATGATGTCCAAGCAGAACTCGTTGATCTGATCAAAGCAAACCACATATCGAAAAACATCAAACACCCTTTCAAGAAAATCCTGGAGAGAAAGTATAGGCCTCAGCTTGTGATGGCAATAGCCATACCATTTTTTCAGCAAGTGACAGGGATCAATGTCATATCCGCGGTACTTTTCGAACAATTGGGTTGAGAGAAATGCCTCGGCAAGTCTTTCCGACCTCCGAAGAGGTAGACTACCGTAGCTTTCCCACAACTAATCCCCTTAAAGAAAAATCAAATTATGTAATCCATTTGAGTTTTTCACTTAATGAAATTAATTTATTTGTCACCAAATTTGCGATTGGAAAATTTGGTTTATGTCGCGCAATTCAAACATTCCGCATCGCATGACTAGTTTTTCTTGCTTGCTAGAAGAAGATGAGTGTTTGGTGCATTTTATCTGAAAACTAATCATTAATTAGGTGTTCAATCTTGTTTGTTTGAAATACATACCATACTTGTTTATTCAATTGAAAGTGGAGAATTAAAAAGTTTGTGAATCCAACACTACAATGCGTAATTCAAAATTAACAGGAATTAAACCAATTAATGAAAATATTTGGGCTGAAACATTAGCAAAGTGAGTCCAACAAGCCTGCGACGTTATATAAAATGAGTTTACTGTCACGTAAGATTTATGCGCTTAATTAGATGCGTTGTCATGTGTAAGATTTTCTTCATATAACAATTCATTAATAAATAAAGATGTCATGATTGCGGTGAACTCGTTATAAATATTGATTATTCACCCGTTTAGCATCAACATGGTGGAGGTACGACCAAGAAACCAGTATAGTCCTCCGCCAACAATGTTCACCATTACACAAATGTTATGCCCATAAAGCTGACCCTGCCACCGCTGATTTTCAAATTCCCAGCATTGTCTTGCTTTTTTTATTTTCTAATCGGCATATGAATAAAGTAATAGAAATTGAATGAATCGTATCCAGTTATTTCCTACCAAAAGAAATGAAAATCATTACAAATCTGTGTAGATGAATTATTTTGGTTTTTTTAAAGTTTAATTTCCCCAGATTTAAATTCGTCAATTTGTAATGGAGAAAAAGAAGAAAAAGATAACTTCGTCCCCAACCCACATACATTAATTACAAATCAGTGTAACGTATATTTATCTCTTTTATAATGTGAAACGTATGCACGTTTTTCTTGACAGTGAACCTTAGAATACTAGTACGTGGAGTTCATGCTAAGGTGCCAAAGTAACTAGAGTGACGCGTAACAAGTGATTTTTAACCTTGTTAGAACCCAGTTAGAACCCAGAAAGCAGTTAGAGCAGTACATTGGCACTGAAGCAGCAGCATCACCTGCAGCAGCAATGATGGTGAAAGCCATTCGAGTCCATGAACTTGGTGGTCCTGAGGTCTCTCACTCTCTCTCTCTCTCTCTCTCTCTCTCTCTCTCTCATTATGAACTCATACCCCCTAAGAACAGATTGTTACAAAATTATCATCTTGAAGCTTCACTGTAAGCATACCAAGTAACCCTTCAATTTTAACAATAGATTCCGCCATTTGAACAAGATTACAGAGAATATTAATCCATAAATTTATATTGCAGTTAAAAAAGACTTGTTCTTGAACCCCAAATACACTATCACAGATTCTTCCCTACTGGCTATCGGCCTTTTTCAATGAAACAACTGAATGAATACCAACAAATCTTGATCAAACAATGGCTATTGGCCTCTTATGCTCTCAAACAATGGCTATCGTCCTTTCAATTTTCTAACAATGGCTATGGGCCGTCAATCTTTCAGAAAAATAACAAACATTCTCCAACTAGAACATAACGCAAACAGATGGTGTGCACTGTGAAATCAGAAACAAAGAACCTGATACGAATGAAAATCTTGAACCTTTGAGCAGAAATCCCTGAGAACTTGCAGCTACCATCGAGCTTCAATCAATCAAGAAGACTTGCACATCGGAATTGAAACCAAGGATCGGCCGGCTCTGATACCATGATAACAGTGCATAGAGAATTGAAGAAAAGCAGAAAACTTAGAGAGAAAGAAAGAGAATTGCAGAGGTCATGAGTTTCTGTATATTTCTTCGAATGAATACTACAAGATTCTTGCACACTTATATATCTCAATGGCTGCCTTATCTCTTATGCTACTAGTTCTAACAGCTCTAACCAATTTTACCGCCAATTCTAACTGACTTCCAAATATGCTAACTGCCATACTTCAGCACCACCATTTTGACCATACTACCCTTCGTATCAGTCAATACTGGTCAATACAAACTACAAGGACTTCACAACTAGATTTCTTTAATTACCCTTTAATAAATAAATAAATTAAGTCGTTAGCAAATTAAAACTCTGAGTAAATTAGAGTCATTGGTGGACTGGCCGGGGTTGTGCAGGCGGTTGAGTTCATGTGGTCTGAGGGATATTTTATTCATTTAGTCTGTCATCTTATTCGAAGGTACTTTATTTAATTGCCAATTGGTCCTTTGGTGTCTTCAAAAACGTGGTGGTGTTGTACACCGCCAGTTGTACACCCCCTTCGTTCTACGAACCCTTGTTGATTCTGAACTTCGTTCGCGAAGGAACTGGGCTTTTGACGGGCCAAACCTTTTTTATGCGCCGCTTTACCCCGAAAGGAAAATTAGCTTTGCTCCTCTGGGCACTAGGCGCTCCCGTGGTTCGCGAGAAGGAAAAAGGATGAATCCTTTGTTACATCTGGCACGAGATGATAAAGAGAGAGCTTCGTCTATCAATGAATAGCGGATTGACGGAGCTCTTGGCATTGCTTTGTTTTTCTCTCCTTTCCTATCAGCGAGGGATATATATACTGGATGAATTTTGGTTTTGGGATTCGAACTCGAGAGAAGCGTTGTTTTAGTTTTCTAAGAAAGAAAATACATAACAAGGTTGGTTGCATGGTCTTGTCCAAAAGCGTCTTCAGATCTAGAGTGCAAGGCTGTGAAAAGCTCTGACTTTCAACGTCATCATACACACCTAAATCACGGTATACAAACTCTTTGCGCTAACCTGTACTTCACGATCATGATCATAGTTGAAATATATGCAATTTGACCGACATCTTGATTGAAGGAGATGACAGCTGAGTGTTTAGTGTCTACTACGCCGTTGTTTCAAGGTAGTTTTATACTTGTGCAGCTGCATTTGCTCGTTTTAATCTTCCTTGAAAATAAATGTGGCAAGAACAATCTTAAAATTAATCTTAACAGCAAATTATAATTAAAGGGTCAATAATCGTATTATCATAACATTGCTACATTCTACAATTGCATTTGTAACACGCGTACTGACCATCCCTTTTCAAAAGCAATTGTTTCTTGAAGTTATTAGATATGACTCGAGTGTTCTTAATTATACAGGTCGAACCTGGACAGATGGTCCTTGTTCACGCTGCCGGTGGAGTTGGATTCCATTTATGCCAGTGGACTAATGCCATTGGTGCCACTGTCATAGGAACCGTATCAACTCAAGAGAAGCCAGCTCAAGCCAAGGAGGATGGATGCCACCATGTCATAATCTATGAGGAAGAGGACTTTGTCGCTCGTGTGAAAGAAATAACTTTCAACAATGGCGTTGATGTTGTCTATGATGGCGTAGGGAAGGTTACGTTTGAGGTATAAGTTTTACTTTTCTTATAATCTCCATAAGTGTGTCATGATTTACTCAAATGTTGCTGCATATATATGCTTGACCAACTTCAATAGTGACTTCTAACTCAGTTGGTTAAGGGCATTCGACATTATCTAATATATAACATTTATTTTGGACTACGAATTCTTACCAATAGATATTGTTTTCAGGGATCGCTGGCAGCTTTGAAGACTCGTGGGCACATGGTGAGTTTGGGCAGTCATCATGTGAGCCAAATCCGGTTCCCTTACAAGTGAATTCAACGCGCCATTTCTAATAATTCGCTTGATTAAGATTCCAATACTCCACTTGAAAGAATTTAAGCTAGGGTTGTAAAGACTGATTGCATAAGCTCAACTCGATGATGAGTGAGGTTTTGACTTCATTATATAGAGATTACAAGATAAGTCTGTTACAGTATAAACGTATAGCGGATTACAAGTGAATTCAAATTACAAATATAAATTGATTGAGTCTAAGAAGAGATAGGACTGCGTTGGTTCTCTATCTAGTGAAGAGTCCTTGAGTTATCCAAACTGACTTTGACTTGGTGAGCGAGACTTAGGTGATTCAAACTGCAGGGATGTGGATTGCTGACCTGGAGTACATGTAGGAATAATAGGTTTATCACACCCCTGCAGGCTAAGTGAGCGTTGACGAATGGGAAGCTTGGAGAGGAGATGACTGAAACAAGCAGAGGACAATCCTTTTATGAGAAGATCTGCAATCTGATCAGTAGTTGCGACATAGCCAACTTGAATTTCTTTGCAAACAACCTTTTCTCGCATATAGCAATAGTTAACTTCGACGCGTCTCATCCTTGCCTGATAAATAGGATTAGAAGCTACTGCAAGTGCACTCATATTGTCGCACCATAACTTTGGTGCAGAAAGAGAAAGGTGCAGGTCACGAAAGATATGGAGAAACCAAGATAAAATGGTTGCCGTATAGGCCAGTTGTCTATACTTGGCCTCAGTGTTTGAGCGAGACACCCCCCACTATTTCTTGGAGCTCCAAGAGACGAGATTATCTCCAAGAAAAATGCCATAGCCACTACTGGAGCGTCGATCATCAGGATCTCCAGCATAGTCCTCATCGGTAAATGCAGTGAGGGTGAGAGGACTAGGTTTATAGACAATGCCCTGATCATGAATGGCCTTCAAGTATTGAAGTACGCGTTTGACAGCATCCCAATGAGCAGTAGTGGGTGAATGCATATATTGGCAGACCTGATTGACGGCAAAAGCAATATCAGGTCTCGTGAAAAGAAGATATTGGAGAGCACCGATTATACTTCGAAAATTAGTGCCATCTGACAAAGGTTCTCTGTCATATATACTCAACTTAGGGCCAGTTGCAGCGGGAGTGGTGAGAGGCTTTGCATAAGACATTTTGGTCTTCTTTAGAAGGTCCAAGATGTACTTGGATTGAGAAAGATACATGGCAGTGGATGTTCGTGTAATTTCCATTCCCAAAAAAATAATGCAAGGGACCTAGATCTTTCATAGAAATTTTTTGGCCAAGCTGTTGAATGAACCGAGATATATGTAATGGATTATTGCCCGTAACAAGGATGTCGTCAACATATGTCAACAAGTAGATAACTGTGGATCCATTAAAGAAGGTGAACAACGAAGAATCTGCTACCAGGCATGAGGTGCTTGTTTCAAACCATATTATGATTTTTGTAGTCTACAAACATGTGATTGAAATTGAGGTTCCACAAAACTTGAAGGTTTGTCGCTCTACCAAAGAACCATGTAAGAAAGCATTCTGAACATCAAGTTGTCGGATAGGCCAATTGTAGTGAAGTGCAATGGAGAGAATGAGTCTGATTATTGCATGAGTGACAACAGGACTGAACGTCTCGCTGTAATCTATACCTTCTTGCTGGTGAAAGCCATTTGCGACTAGTCAAGCCTTATACCGTTGTATGGAACCATTAGAATGTCGTTTGATCCGATATACCCATTTATTTGGAAGAACGTTCATGGATGGAAGAAATGGAACCAAGGATCATGTGCCAGTACGCAAAAGAGCATTAAACTCTTCTGCCATTGCCTGTTTCCATTCGGGATATTTGTTAGCCTACGTAAAACAAGTAGGCTCAACCACAGCATTAGGGGCAGCAAACCAAATGAGATGAAGTTATTGTGCGGAAGCGTCAAATATGAAACCAATAAGCAACAACGGCAAAATATGACAATACAAATAATATAAAATGACACAATGATTTATACTGGTTCGGCGTAAGCCTACGTCCAGTTCCGAGACGGCGAGGAAATTCCACTAATATCAAAAGGAGATTACAAATAGAGTTTTAACTCTTAAACCCAAATCTCACATACACCCAATAGCTCTCACTAAAACAAAGAACGGTCGTCGTCGTACCCAGTGCACAAGGCTCCCGCTTTATGCAGGGTCTGGGAGAGGTGAATGTCGGCTAACCTTACCCCCATTTTATGGAGAGGCTGCTCCCAACACTAAAACAAAGAACAAATGGAGAAAATGGAAACGTATACCAAATTCCTTCTCTCCCAAAAGCCACAACATGTAGCACAAATATCTTTGATTGAGTGATCACTAACAAAGGGGGAAAGCAGCAACTCTATTTCAAATGGGAGAGCCGAATGCTCTCTCCTCTGCTCACTAATTGGAGCTGTCAACAGACAATTCCCTTTATCTCATCTGCTGCCGCTCCCACTTCACCAAAGGCATAACCAAAAACATATAATAAACAAAAGGAACAAAACCATAATTGCCACATATTCTTTGCCTTTGTAAAAGCCACAAATCAAGGGCTAGACATCATAATGATGTCCCCCTTTTCCTTATTCTATTTTATTAGCCGAAAGGTATTTTGGCTTGTTGTCCACTTGGTCACAAATCCAACAGAAGTTTCGCTAATGCTGGAGACTCATGAAGAGTGGAGTTGGATTCTGCAAAACTTTCTATTCTTCCTTCACTGTCATTGTAGCATGCATGATGCATTCATCTAGCAGAGACGAGGGACCGTCCCTATACTTCTAGCATTTCTTTTTTCTTCTTTCCTGTCGTAAAACTTTGTTTCCTGGTTTTTTGTACATGCAATATATGCCTTTATTATGTTCTTTTCAAAGATTTAAACAGCCCCTGTTCTTAACCCTTATGCTTAGGATGTCAAGCAACTACAGATCGATACATGTCAAGTCGAATCGAGTCGAGTCGATTTTATTTATTCTAGGAACAAAGTTGCTTCATAATGTATCATGTTTCAAGTTTATAAACTTTGCGTATATTGGCATCAATATGAATGCTTTGTGACAAAAAGTGCCCCTAAATAACATAGGAAAATGCTAACTCCGTCGTCACTATTTTGCTTGCTCCACAAGCATTTCAAAGCTGCTTAGCAATTTGGTTTTCTCGTAGAAAAGCGAGAGGTGTCACGTGAATTAGTACGAAGAAGAGAGAGGGAGCACGAGCATTTCAAAGCTGCATAGCAATTGGGTTTTCTCGTAGAAGAGCGAGAAGTTTCACGTGAATTAGTACGAAGAACAGAGAGAGAGAGAGAGAGAGAGAGAGAGAGAGAGAGAGAGAGAGAGAGAGAGAGAGAGAGAGAGAGAGAGAGAGAGAGAGAGAGAGAGAGAGAGAGAGAGAGAGAGAGAGAGAGAGAAGTACTACGAAGAAGAAGGGGAAAGAGAAGAGCGAGAACAAAAGAAAGATCCAGGGGTAAAATTATAAATTAAAAATAATTAAAAATATGGAGTTTTAATGAAATGTCCACAATACTGTTCACTTTAACGAAAAACCACATTTTTACAATAAAAAGTCAAACCTGGTACTATTCACTTTATATTTTATTTTGTCCTTATCGTTAAAACTCAAAGTTTTCAAACCATTTTCATTAGTTTTTCTTTAAAAATACAACCACGAAATAATGTGAATAATGTGAGTTTGCTGATAATTAATTATCCCTAAACCATTTTCACACATTTCTCTTGTCATTCAATTTACTTCTCCTGAATTAAGAGTTACTTGTTCAGAAAACAAGTTATAATTTTTTATGGGATAATTTTTTCTATTTTTTATATTTTAGAAAAAGCTCGACGGTACGAGCAATATTTTATTGATAACGAAACAAATAAGTTACATCTAGTCATGGGAGAACATAAACCTTACCCCTCATAATGCCAAGAAAAAGGAGAAAAACAACATTGAGTAAGAAGGGAAGACATAAAACTTACCCCTCTAGAAACAAAAACAAAAACAATACAATGGAGGGGAGACTGAAACCTAACCCCTCTAAAACCAAACCTGAAAGAAAAATACAATGAAACAAGAGAACGAAATTTGACAAAATCATACAACACAACCATACTGGCATATTCGTCACAGCAAGGAAAATGCCAACAAACTTACTCAAAGTACAAAACAAAGCTAAACATATTCAACAATTACATGACACATTTTAAGCACTATCCTATTCAGCAACTGTGAAAGAAGAATGCTCCATGGCATGTTTACCAGCAAAGAACCAAGCACAATCCAAAACCCCGTGAAGAATCCAACTCCCAAGCTCACGTAGAACCACTCATCTTCAAGTAAATGGTATCCTCCTCCATCTTGCTCAACTGTTGGTGGCGGTATCACTCCATTTGCGCTGCAATTGTTGTTGAGTAGAGGTCCGCAGAGTTCATTGCCGATGAAGCTAGACGGATCAAGGGTCTGCAACTGAGTGCCTTCCGGAATTCTTCCCGTCAAATTGTTGTAGGACAAGTTTAAGTGATTCAAAAATGTCAAATTCGTAGTGCTTGGAGGAATTTCACCATCAAGTTGGTTCATGGAAAAATCGAGAGATTCTAACCGTGCCATATTACCAATCTTTGAAGGAATTTTTCCAGTGAAGCGATTATTCGATAAATTGAGTGACTGCAATGCGAGGAGGCCGGTAAGTTCTTCAGGGATCTCTCCATATAAAGTTGCATGAAAGATCCATGTTTTTTACAAATTTCAGAATCTTGGTATATTCCATTTCTATCCCTTTCGTTACCAAGATTGCATTCTCTAGAACTGTATGAGCCATATCAGAAATAATAAACCGAGATGTTTGCAAAAAGAATTCTGACACATCAGCCATGGCGCTCAAATTGTGGAAGCATCTCGGTATCGTTCCAGAGAGTTTATTATGCGCAAGGTCCAATATCTGGAGACTTTTCAAATAACAAATTTCCGAAGGAATGTCTCCTTCAAACTCATTCGAACGAAGGTTAAGAAGGTT